ATATATGTAATTTAGGGGTAACGCTTAAGAACGCGCGCGTTTCCCTCAACCCGCGTTTCCCCAACTCCGCGGGCGCGCAGCCGGTGTCCGATGCCCTGCTTATGCCCTCCCGAGGGTTCTCGGCGCTGCTTATCCCCGTCCTTCTCCTTTCCCTGCCTCCCGGTGCTGCAGCCACCCGCTGTTGTGCTTCTCCGCCCGCCGCTCCTGGGCTCGGGCTGTTTGCTGCCAGGACGTGAGTGTTTTACTTAAGACGGCGTTTGCCGTTGGTGGCTCCTGCCCGGTCGGTAAATAGTTTTAAGGCTAAAAAGTAGGTATTAGTCCCATTAGTGCAGCGGGTGAGCCGGGGCTAATACCGCTCATTAGCAGACACCTGGGAGACCACGGAGTGGTTAATGAGTGGTGAGGACTCGCCAGGGAGCCCGTTAGGAGATGCACAGCAGCGGTCTGACCATCTGGGAGACGAGAGAATCTTAGAATCCCAGGTTGGAAAGGGCATTATGATCACCTGGTCCAACCTTCCTAGGCAAAACATGGTCTAGACTGGATGTCCCAGCACCTTGTTCAACCACATCTTAACAGTGTCCAACAGTGGGGAATTCTCCACTTTGCTGTGGACATTATGTTGTTCTCGTTGGGCAAAAATTTTCTCTTGATCTGTGAGTAACTTTTACCCATTTCCCCATGTCTTTTCCATGTGACTCTTTGCAAAAGGGAGTCTCTTATCTCCCTAGAATCATGGAATGGTTTGGGTTGGAAGGGAACTTAAAGCTCATCCATTTCCAACCCCTGCCCCGGGCAGGGACACCTTCCACTAGAGCAGGTTGCTCCAAGCCCCTGTGTCCAACCTGGCCTTGAACACTGCCAGGGATGGGGCAGCCACAGCTTCTCTGGGCACCCTGTGCCAGCGCCTCAGCACCCTCACAGGGAAGAGCTTCTGCACAAGAGCTCACCTCAATCTCCCCTCGGGCAGGTTCAAGCCATTCCCCTTGGCCTGTCCCTCCATCCCTTGTCCAAAGCCCCTCTCCAGGTTTCCTGGAGCCCCTTTAGGCACTGGAGCTGCTCTAAGGCCTCCCCTTCAGGAGCCTTCTCTTCTCCAGCTGACCCAGCCTGGCTCCAGAGCAGAGCTGCTCCAGCCCTCACAGCATTTCCATGGCCTCCTCTGGACACAATCCAACAGCTCCATGACCTTCTTATGTTGGGAACCCCTGTGGTCTTTGTAGCCTCCTTTTAAATACTGGAACAAGATGGGCAGCTCTGCATGGCTTTGGGTTGGGGCTTGGTTCTTGCTCTCAGATACTCTGCAATGCTGCTGATGCGCCTGGCTTGGTTTTGGGTTTGCAGCATGGGCTTCCTACATGACCAACTCCCCAACGCTGATCGTGATGATTGGCCTGCCTGCACGTGGCAAGACCTACGTGTCCAAGAAGCTCACCCGCTACCTCAACTGGATTGGGGTGCCCACCAAAGGTGTGTGCTGCGGCTGCCCTCGGGCAGGGCTGGTTTTCCCCTGTGCAGAAAGCACTGTGAGATCTGTCTGTGCAATGCTGCCAGTCTCATGTACTCGTCTTTTTGTGTGTGAAGTGTTTAATTTAGGAGTGTATCGCCGAGAAGCAGTGAAGTCCTACAAGTCCTATGACTTCTTCAGGCATGATAACAAAGAAGCCATGGAAATCCGCAAGTAAGTTGGCATCAAGAGGCTGAACTGTTCTGTGGTGGTCTGGTTAGTCTCAGGTCTTGGCAGGCTCTGTATTTCAGGAGCAGAAAAAAACACTTAATGCTCATGAAACCAAGGGGAGGAGGCAGCACAGCCCATGCAGGGATCCTGCCACAAGCAGGTTTTAGGCAGAGGTGTTTTATGATCACTGGGGTTCTTAAAAAGATGCAGGGGTGGGTGCTCCATGGGCAGTGGGAGGAGGTATTTAGACCTGTCCTGGTGGTTCAGAAGCTTTGCTGTTTGAATGCTTTCCATTACCTCTGAATACCTGTATCTCTCCTGCAGACGATGTGCCCTGGTGGCTCTACAGGACGTGAAGGCATATCTCTTGGAGGAGTGTGGGCAAATAGCTGTAAGACTTTTCTGGACTAAACACGGGTTTACGTCTGGGTAGTTTAAAGCTGCCCAGGTTTTTTTGGGACCTGACTGTTACCCCCAGTGTTTTGGGGTTGGTTTAAAAGCCTTAGATAAACTTGCTCATTGCTGCTTACTCATTTTCTGGTAGGTGTTTGATGCGACCAACACAACTCGAGAAAGACGGGACCTGATACTAAGTTTTGCTAAAGAAAATGCTTTCAAGGTAGTGGTGCTTCATCTGTAGCTGCTGCACCGAGGGGCCTTACAGCTCCCTGGGGCAGGAGCTCTTGAGTTTTGATCCAGGGTAGAGTTCTTGACTCTGAAATGTGCTGCTTTGCCTTCTTTGTAGGTATTTTTTGTGGAGTCCGTCTGTGACGATCCAGAAGTCATTGCTGCCAATATCCTGGTGCGTGCTGCATTTACCAAGCTTGGCTGCCTGTGCCTACTGTGGGTGCTCAGTACAAGGTCACCAGCTACAATAGCTTACAGCAGTGTCTGCAAATGCCTTGCTCTTAAGTTTCACCTAAATAAGCAGCTCTAAGGTTTGCAGCTTTAGAAAAGCTAAAGATGCAGTTAGCTATGTGAGAAGGTAGAAATCAAATGAAGCTGAGAAATGTTTGACCTTGAAGTGTGCTTTCTTGTGGAGGGGAGGAGAGCAGCAGGGCAGCTGTGTCTGTCACAGGGCCAAGCACCACAGCGCCTTCAGAGTTGCCCTTTGTTTCCTCTCCAGGAGCAGGTTTTTTCCACAGGGCAACGTTGAACAATGCCTGTTTGTTTCCAAGGGGAAGAATGATGTTATTCAGCCTTGCTTTTGTTCCCCGGGTGAGTTTGCTTAACTCTCACAAAGCGGTGCTGTCTGTTATCAGGAGGTGAAAGTTTCCAGCCCTGACTACCCAGAGAGAAACAGGGAGAATGTGATGGATGATTTCCTGAAGAGGATAGAGTGCTACAAGGTCACTTACCAGCCTCTCGATCCCGATGCCTATGACAAGTAAGCAAAGCCCTGGGGTGCATTTTATCCTTGCATATGAGCTGCTTTGCTTTGTCACTGCTGTTCTCTGGCTCTGGGTGCTATAATATGTCTGCTGGAGCCTCTGTTCTCTCAAAGTGCCTGTGTGAAGGTGATTCCCAAGTGATGTGAAAGGATTTTTCTATAGTGTGTTGCAGTGTAATGCAGCTCCTTGTGTAAGCACGGCAGTTCAGTGTCTCTTCTGTCTGCTGGAGCAACCCGGTGATAGAGCTGATGCCTTTACTAGAGGATTAATAGCTAGATTACACCCGCAGGTGCACATGCCTCATATTTAAAACCAGTCGTGTGGGTGTTCTTATTTTATGTTGACTCCAGAGATCTTTCCTTCATTAAAGTGATCAATGTGGGACAGCGGTTCCTAGTAAACAGAGTCCAAGATTACATCCAGAGTAAAATCGTCTATTACCTAATGAACATTCATGTCCAGCCGCGTACCATCTACCTTTGCCGACATGGTGAGAGTGAATATAATCTTGTTGGCAAGATTGGTGGGGATTCTGGTCTGTCACCACGTGGGAAGCAGGTAAGTGTTCGGCAGCACCTGGGTTGCTGTATGTGTTGTGTGACCAGTGCCGGGCTCTGCATCTGACTCCTGCGAGGGGCAGCCCCGCAGATGGATCTTGCTGCAACAGCCACAGCCCTTGAAATGATGCTCTGAAGAGTGGCAGCAGCTCCTGCTCCCTCCCAACCTCCCCTGGCTTTTTCTCCAGTTTGCTCAGGCGCTGAAGAAGTTCATTGAAGAGCAGGAAATTGTTGACCTGAAGGTATGGACGAGCCAGCTGAAAAGGACAATCCAGACGGCCGAGTCCCTGGGGGTCATGTACGAGCAGTGGAAGATTCTCAACGAGATCGATGCTGTGAGTGAAAAGCTGTTTGAAGCCTTTAGGTTTTCTAGATGGGAAATAATATTTAAAACCAAATTTGTCATGGTAAAATGACCATTTCTCATTCATCTATAACCATGTCCATGTAAAATGTACTCCAGCCATCATCATGAATCATAGAATCACAGACTGGTTTGTGTTGGAAGGGACCTTAAGGCTCATCCAGTTTCAACCCCCTGCCCCAGGCAGGGGGACCTTCCCCCACAGCAAGGGGGGCCCCACTTGCTCCAAGTCCCTGTGTCCAACCTGGCCTTGAACACTGCCAGGGATGGGGCAGCCACAGCTTCTCTGGGCACCCTGTGCCAGCGCCTCAGCACCCTCACAGGGAAGAGCTTCTGCCCCAGAGCTCATCTCAATCTCCCCTCTGGCAGGTTCAAGCCATTCCCCTTGTCCTGTCCCTACAGGCCCTTGTGCAAAGCCCCTCTCCAGGTTTCCTGGAGCCCCTTTAGGTACTGGAAGGCCACCGGTATGGCCATGTCAGATGTGCTATATATCATTTTCATCACATAAAGGAATTGCTCATCTGAGCCTGTTGCTTTTTCTTTTCTCTTTGTTCTATCTTCTCTGTTGCAATGAGGTGGGCTGTAACAAGTTGTTCTTCCCTCAGGGGGTATGTGAAGAAATGACCTATGGAGAAATTGAAGTCAAGTATCCAGATGAGTTTGCATTGAGGGATCAAGAGAAATACCTTTATCGCTATCCTGGAGGCGAGGTGAAGACCCTTAGAGAATAACAATGACCCAGTATATGTAAACCAGAGAGATGTGTAGAATTGAAAGACTTTACCTAATTTTTCCTTTTTCTGCCAATATTTGTGTGAGAAACTGAAAAGATTAGGATCCCTAATTCTCATTTAGAGGGAAGGTTCATTGATTTCCTTTCTCATGGTGTGCAGATGATGCCTTTCAATCAATGAATTGGGCCACTTGCTGAGTGCCTTGATGCTCCCCTTGAACACTGAGGGGCTTCTGCATCCCACTCATGTGCCCAAGGCCTGAATTTTCACCATGAAAAATGGTGATGATTGCGGGTGTGGTGTGGAGCCATTTCTGGGTTTACTTCACAACCTTAAGTGTATAATTTATTATTTTATATGCTTTTCTTATTGCCCAGTTACCAGTAATCCAAATCCTCCTGTAATCTGAGGTTTGCTGACCTTAAATTACACCTTTTGCTGTTTGTTTTTTTTATCCCCTGTATTCATCAGATCATCCCTAAACTTCTGCATTTTGAGACTTGAAGTGATGCTTTCCTGAAGGTGAAGCTGTGCTAAAATTGCTGCTTCTGCTTTAAACCTCTGTTTATGAAATGCCTTGAAAAATTCCCGTTTTGTTTTCCAGTCCTACCAGGACTTGGTCCAGCGCCTGGAGCCAGTAATTATGGAGCTGGAAAGACAAGGCAACGTCCTCGTCATCTCCCACCAGGCAGTTATGAGGTGCCTGTTGGCTTATTTTCTTGACAAGAGTGCAGGTACAAAAATAAGCGAGTGGTGGTAGGGCTGGCTTCTCTGGCTGCTTCCTTTGCAGGGTGTTGGGGAGGGTGGCTTGTAATTGCTGTTTTGATTTCTCACAAGGGAAGAGGTGCTTAAAAAAGAAAAGCAAACATTGCTGACAGACTTTAACCATTGCAGTTCAGTGGTGTAGGGAGCAAGAAGCTCTCTGTGTGTGAAATGCAGAAGAGCACGCTGCTGGTCCTCTGCTCAAGTGCTGTTTTACCAGTAGCACTTATGTTTTCTATAATTGACTATATTTTAATGTAAAGGAAAAAGTTTCTGGTGCATGTGGAGTCCAAAGGGTTGGCAGTTATGCTACATCTTTGATTGATGCTGATCCTTTGTGTGGCATACTCACCTGGAAGCTAGTTCCAGTGCAAGCTCCTTTATGATGCTCCAGTGAGTGCCACTGGAGTTTAATAATACGTTTACTAAAGTTTATTAACTCTAAATAAAGCTTCCATGGGTCCATGGCAGCTGTTGCCGTGGTGCTTTCCCACCTGTGTGCTGCTGGAGAGGCTTCCTCTGGTTGGCCTCATGTGTTGGGAATGGTGGGTTTGGTCCCATCCCACTACTGCATCCAGTATTTGCTATGTGAAATGTTCCTACCGAAAGCCTGGGCAGAGCGGGGTGGCTGGTGTGGGCGGCACTCCATAACACCCCATAATGCCTACGTCTGTCCTAGATGAGCTGCCCTACCTGCGCTGCCCTCTTCATACCATTCTGAAGCTCACACCTGTGGCATATGGTAAATAATGTTGTTTCTTCCCCTGGTGTGTGTGTGTGTGAATTATAGAACGGTTTGGGTTGGAAAGGACCTTAAGATCATCTAGTTCCAACCCCTTGCCATAGGCAGGGAATCTGATGGGCAGGTTTGTGTCCATGTCTGGCAGCAACCAGCTGAGCTGTAAAAGCTTCTGGTAGTATAGTTAATATATAAAAAGACTCTGGAGAGTAGGAGGGTTTGGAGGGAGCAGTGGGAGAGGAGATACGTGGATGCCAGGGTGTTTCCTTCTTCTAAACAAGTGATAGTTATCTCTGGATTTTCACCCATTGATGAAGGCTGGTTGTGGCTCCAAGCTTGGATTTGGGGTGCAGTCAGTTAAAAATGGGGTTTTTTAGATGGACCTGTAGTCCCCATGACAGGGCTGAACAGCAAAGGTCAAAGCCAGAATGTAGTTCAAGTGTAAAATCCTGTTAATAGCATGAACTGCTTGTTGGAGCTGTCTTAGAAAACAACCCATTTATTGCTGCTCACTTCCCAGGCTGATTTCAATATTAAAATAAAAGATGTTTATTTCATAAGTTACCCTTCCTCACATCAACTTCTCTTGTGGTAAAGGTTGTAAAGTGGAGACAATCACCCTGAATGTGGAAGCAGTGAACACCCACCGTGACAAACCCTCTCTGAACTCAGTAAGTTCTTGCTGCACAGCTCAGGTTTTATCCCATTTCAAAACCAAGTAAGGACATGGAGACACTCTTCAGCACCTGCTAGAAGTGGTTGATTGCTGTCAGTGAGCACAAAGACTTGCTTCAGGTATAATCCCCCCAAAAGCAGAATTAATAGTGGGTGGAATTAGTTTGTTCCCAGGCCAGGGGGAGATGTTCTCAGAGCTATTACAGGAACCAGAACAGGCAACTTTAGAACAGAGATTTTTAAGTTCCTGGGCCTGTTCTCAGCTTTCAATGAAGTTGTTGCTTGTTTCTGTTAATGGTGGTAAGTTCAAAAAGATTTGCCAAAATGTTTTAAAGAAAAGATTTTTCCTTCACTGTCTTGATAAGCTTTTCTCTTTGTAAAGCTGCCATTGGGGTAAGGCTACGCCCTGGGGAGGGGAGGTTCTTGGTGGCTCTCACAGTGTTCACAGCCCTTTTGGGGCCAGGCTGGCTGCTGTGGGGCAGGAACAGTGGTTTTTCTTTAGTAAAACGCACAAGAAATCAGCAGAGACAAGTATTTGGTGCAAAGCAAGACTCTGGTGTTCCTAAACTTTGTATGTATTGAAGCAGAAGGAGATGGGTCCCATTTATCTCCCTTGCACTATGAATCCTCTTAGAGCAGCAGTGGAAGTGTTTCAGGCTTTGGCTTTGTTTATGAACTCCTCTGTCTCCCATTACTTCAATAACTGCTCAGCCGTCCACCTTGTGGATGCACCATGTAACTATGTGCTAAACCTGTGGAAGTTGCTACTACTGTAGGTGCTTGCTTTTGTAAATGCTGCTTTGCAGAGGGACTGATCCATCAGGGAATGGTGCTTAGTGATTGCCTGTCATTAGCTCCCCCAGTTAAAGACCATAAACCAGCTCTCTGCTGTGCTAGCTCACAGGAAATCAAAGTGCATCACATCTTAAGTTCTTTCAGTACGTTCAGGCTTTTAGCTGCCTTTTGTTGTGCTTGATAAAGAGCTATTGGCTGATTGATTGCCTGGGATTTGGTTATTTTTTGTGTCACAGCGTAGAATCACCTATGCCAAGGAACAATAAACAAGGAATGGAGAGAATAGGGACCTGCATCTGTGGCTGGAGGGTTTGTGGAGCTAAATCCAGCTGATTACAAAATGCTACATTGATGGTATTCAGCAAGTTTTTGTGCCTGGTCCTATGCTGGTTCCCAGTCAGGCATTTATCACTTTGCACCTTCTGTGTGATGCCTGTGTTGAAATCATTGCTTGCTCAGAGAAGTGGGAGGCCGTTTCTGTTGTTCTTGGCTTTAGTTGGGCAATGTGGCTGCTTTGGGGAAGAAGAAACACAAAGAATGGAAAGTTTCTCTATTTCTAATTATGTTTTTCCCCCCTAAATTGGTTGTGAGGAGAAAAGGAAAATAAGTCCCCAAATGAACCAAAAAACCCTCCCTGAACAAAGCCAACTAAGCAAAAAAAATCCCAAAGGGAAGTAAAACTGCTCAAAAATAGACTTTTCAGTGGACTCTGAGGCAGATCAGCCAAGAGAGTGGGTTATTTCCCACTGCTGGTGCTCTGCAGGGGGAGGCTTGGAGTGGCTTCTGAGGGCTTCAGGGAGATGCGGGTGGGAATGCCGCAGGTGTGTGCCGGTGTGGATGCGCTTGTAAATCGTGGTTCCCCTTTTCATTCCTCATGATTCCCTCCACCCGGGATCAGAACCACTTTCCTGCCAGCCAAAGCCCTGTAAGGATGAGAAGGAACAGCTTTACGCCGCGGGCCAGCGCGGACACAGTAAAGCGCCCGCGACATTACAGCGTTGGGAGCAAACCTCTCGACCTCGTGGGGCCTTTCCCATCCTTGGAAGCTCGAGATGGGGCTGACCAGCAGCAGCTGCAAGTCGGGGTCCAGGTGGTACCTTCTCTGTGTTTCCCTTCCCCACCATCACCCGCAGCCCTTGGCGGTCCTCTTTGAAACACAGCCCCTTCCCAGGGTCTTTGTTCCTGTAAGAATCATTCTAGATTAGGCACTCTATAAACCCACCCAAAAGTCACCCCATTAAACTAGAATTGTGGTGCCAAAGGCTTTCAAAACAGGCCTTGGAGTAACTTGGTCTAGTGGAAGGTGTCCTTGCTTATGGCAGGGGGTTGGAACTGGATGAGCTTTGCAGTCCCTTCCAACCCAAACCATTCTATGAACACCAGGCTCTGTGCAGGTTAGTTTCCATCAGTGCAGTAGGATTTCAGCAGCGTGGTTAATTCTGATGCTTTCTGGCAAAAACCCAATTGGAAGACATTACAAATATCCTCTTTGTCCAAATGTGATGCTGCAGCCAAGTGTTGCTCCAGCCCCTGGTAGGAAATATTTGCATCATGACTTTATCAGTGCCTGTTTTCCTGCAGTTCCCAACATCAGCAGCTTGTTGAGCAAAGTTTGGGCTCTTTGCATGCCCAGAATAAAGCAGCTTTGGGTGCTTGGTGTTTCTTCTGGCTTAAAAGGCACCAAGGTCCTCATCAGTGTCGGATGCAAAGCCCCATTTGTTTCTTTGCTCATTTAAACTTGTTTCTCTGTTAAATGAGGTGTTTGTGTGTGTCTGGGAGGGTGCAGGCAAAGAGGTTTGGATGGGGCTTTGAGGAGGTCTTGGTTGTTGGGTCCCATAGAATAATAGAAGTTAGGGTTGGAAAGAACCTATGTTGTAATGTGTATATTACATGTGTGTTGTAATGTGCAGAGACAGCCATTACCAAAGCTGCTTAAAAATAACCTCGGATTCTTTAGGGGTTAATGTTTTCCCAGCTTCTCCCTCTTCCTTCAGAGTAAGTGGCCAGAGAGTAAAAGAAGGGGTAATGCAGCACAGGTGAACATTGCTCCATACTCAGTGAAGAGTATGAGGCTCAGGCATCCCAAAATCCCAAGGCTATGGTCAAACTGAGCCAGCCAGGGCTTTGCATTGGGATAGATTTGGGTCACAGCAATTCTGGGTGATGTCTCATCTGGAGAGGACCCTGATGGCCCAAGGTGTTAATTTGTGGATGCCTCAGGACGGGATCCTCACCCCCATTTGCAGTTGTACCCTTGGTCATTGTAGTGATGAAGGAGCATTTAGTGAACCCTGGGTTCTGGGCTGGGTGTGGTAGGGAATTGTGCTGTCCCAGGACCTCTTGCCTGAATGGAGCCCTTGGGATGAGCAGCAGTGGAGGGAAGAGGTGGCCAGGCACCGCTGCACTGTCCATGCCTTGTATCAGCTCCTGCTGTGATACAAGCCTGCCCCCAGCTCCTTAACATGGTATCTTTGGGGTTGCTTCATTTCTTTCCTCATTTGCTTTGCTGCTTTTCCTATTATTTCAAAATCTCCTTTAAAATGCACTGTGAGCTATCCTGTGCTGTTTCTTTTTTCCTTTGCAGCCTCAAGGGGGAATTGCTTGCCTGTGAGTACCACTGAAAGCAGCTTGTATGTATTCTCTTTTGGTTTAGTAAGTAGGACTTCTCTCGATTAATGTTGCATGGAATCTGCTTTGGGAAAAGACAGATGCATGGAGCAGAAAGAAGTCTTTTTTTGTGTAATAACCTGGCATTAAGGGGGACCTCAGTGGGGGAGGAGTATGTTACCAGGTTGAGCCCACTAATCCAGGGGCTCCAACTGGTTTTACTGGTGAATGTGCTTCTGCTGGCTGCCCGTAAAAGTGTGTTTCACCCCGAGCTTGCTTCATCCCTGGACCAGGATGTGGGATGGCTGCACTGGCACTGCTAGGCTGAGCCATGTGGCCTGTCCTGAGCAGCGCTAGGTCCCACATACATCTCCTTTCCATCTGGGATGCAGTGTGGTGATGTTGCTGATGGCAGGGATTTTGCAGGACTTGGTGGGTTGTAGCCTGGATGGGAGTGGTGCTGCTCAGCCCCAGTTCCAGGTGACTTGAGGGAGCTGGAGGGGCTTAGTGTGTGCTTGGCAAGCAGCTGGGTGGATAAACCTTCCTGTGTGGGTGCCTGTTGTCACCGAGTCCTCACCACCATGTCCCCTTCAAGGCCCCTTGACTGGGGGCAAAGGGAGCAGGACTCTCTCCCACTCTAAGGGGAGAACGTATCCTTGTCTGTCCCCTCTCTTTAGGGAGCCTTCAGCCAGCGTCACCCATGAACCCTTGGCTTCCCCTTCAGCCTCTGAGTAAGGGGCTCGGATGAGACCACGGCTGCTGCCCTCTGCAGGAAGGCTGGACATGCCCTCGCTTCTCTGTGCTCCCACCAGCCCTGCTCTACTGGTGCCTGGGGCAGACCCTGCTGCAACCCTGCGCTTGGCTTCTTGGGTGTTTCTCCTCATGCAGTACACACAACGCTGATGGGTTTTGTCTCGTGAAGGGTGTTTTTGTCATTTAGGTGCTCTGTCCAGGGGCTTGGCTGTATTAAAGCACAGCAGGTCCCTGCATGCGGCTGTGGGATGGCTCTTGGCAGCACCCATGGTGTGTCCGCTGTGCTCTGCTCATCCCCATGCACTGGGGTGACCCACAGCACTCAGCTGCATCACCCGTCTTTGGGGTAACTGTGGTGTCCCTTTAGGGGAGCAGCAGGCTGTGCTGGGGAGCACCCAAGGGTTGTGGTGTTTAAGGGGGGCAGGCTCAGAGGTGTCACAAGCTGTGTCCTTGGGGGCTTCATGTTGCTGTGCATGAGCTGTTGGGGTTGTTGCTGACCTGCTCTTGTTCTCAGCAAAGCTCTGCTCCCTCCTTGCCTCTGCCCTTGGGCAAACCCTCTCGCTTCTGGTGCTCTGGTGTCAAAGGGAGAGCTGGGTTATGTGCAAAGAAAGTAAAGCAGGAGCTGGTTTGGTTTCCAGATGCAGCATGTTGAGAGAGGATTCAGGTTTGGGTGGTGAGCTCCCATTTCTCTGTGACACAGTGGTCCTTTTGCTGCCATAGGATGCAGCTCATCCCTTTCAGGCAAGGGAGGTGCAGCTCTTACCTCTGCCCAGGTAATGTTCCTCCAGGCCTGAGAAACTCCCACTTGAATGTATTTGGCCATTTGGATGTGCAGTTCACTACTTTAGTTGCACTTTGTCCTTGAAGTGAAGCTCTTCCAACCATTTCCACAGTGCAGCTGCTCTTTCTGTATCACCGTGATGTCGTGGGAAGCAAAGGTATGGGATTGATCCCAGAGTGTCATGCCTCTGTCTCCTGTCTTCTAGTTTGGGATAGCATTTTGAATAATGCTTCAGAGTTTTGTTACTGACCTGCCAAAGCTGTGGAAGCGCACAAAGCATCAGGCTCAGGTCCTGCTGCAGAGCATCTCCCAAGCTGGGATGCTGACTTGGGAATGGTCCAGCCAGTAGTGACGCAAAAAGGGCCTGTTTCTCCTAAAGCTGCCTGTCTCCCTGCATTGCAGAGGCCTTGATGATGAGGGGGAAAAGGAGAAATCGCCTGAGCTGGGAAGCTTGTGCTAAATCTGATAAATTATTCCTATGCTGAGTAATACTAATGTAGAATCAAATCAGAGGAAAATTATCCATAGGCTAAAAATTAACGCCTTGCCTCTTTGGATTTGCCTTTGCTCTGGGCTGAAAGGAGCTGTGTGGTTAGAAAATGAATGTATGTTCTTCAAGTGCTTCTTTCTCCTGTATTTAAGCAAATTACACAGATTCCCTAGGAGGGGGTGCAGATAAATGACATTCACTTGGTCCAGCTTCCTCAATTTTAGTACAAACTTACTTCCTAGTACTGCTGTTTTGCTTGAGAAAGTAGTGTGTGAGCAGCTCTTAGGAATTAGCTCTGATGATGGTTACTCTCCAAGTGTCATTGTTGGGAAAGCTGTTTAAATTTTACTTTGCTTTGTTTTTTTATTGCAAATAGAACATATGCAGGGGCTGGATTTCCTGACTGTTGGATTTCAAGTGTTGGTTGTCAGCAAACCAGCTCCAGAGCTGGGCTGTTGATTCTTGTAATGGCAAACCAGTGCTGGTGGGGTAACAAAGACAACTTGCACCTATTGATTCACATGTTGGTTTGCAGTGTGAGTGCTGCAGCTGAGCAGGGCAAGCACTGGGCATGGCACAGAAGGAGCCTTTTCTGTGCTCTGAGACATTGCCTGAACAACAGCTGTAGGAAATCATGGCTGATAGCTTATAATATATAATCGAATTCGCTTGTACTGACCTGAGTGTGTTCCTCGTGTCTGCTGGACCCTTGCTGAGGCAGTGGAAGGAGTTTTATCAAAACTAGAAATATTTATTGTGGTTAACATGCTGTAGTGTTTCTTACTTTGTCCTGGAAGTGTATTTTCCTACGGAGAAGAGAAATAAAAGTGAGTAACCCTCAGTAACCAGCCTGCTTCATTATTACCTCCAGAAAAGCTGAGTTTGCATGGTCCCAGGGTGGGAAACCCTTCTTCACAGAGCTTTACAAGAGGTTAAAGGATGATGCAAAGTGTGAAGCAGCTTGTTATTTGCTGGGGTAGAAGTAAATAAGAAAATCCTCAGATGGTCTCTGTCATGTAGAATGATTATATGGATGCTGGAATGACGCAGAATGATTACATGGATCCACTGCTGTGAAGCATCTCTGCCCATGCCCAGCACTAAACCAAGCTCTGCTGTCCCTGCTTTACATCTCCTGACTTAGCCTTGGTCTAACCTGTCCCGTTTCTCTCTCATTTGTAGAGGATGGCCAGTTTAATGGTGTAGAGGTTTGTGCTTCCATCTGGGATTTCTATGGCTGGGAAGAGCCCTGCAGCTGGACTTAAGCATCCCTGGAGCACAGTGAGCTGCCGCCACTTCGGCCCGTCCTCTCCTCTGAAATATGTTTAAAACCTGTCTGTGTCTTTTCTTTCTGAATGCTGCAATGTCTGTCCATGAGATTGGAGAAGAATGTAAGCTAACATATCCCTGGGCTTTCTGGGGTCCCATGTCTTTCCTCCTGGTTAGGTAGTCAAATTAACTGCAGTGTATGTGAGGGCAAAACAGTCATATTCGTACTCAGCAAAGCAGCTTTTCTTTGGACGATGTGTTATCAAACCAAATCCCCAAGTTTTTATTTAGCTGTTACCATTTCAAAAGTCAAATGCAGTTATTGTGGTGTTCAACCATCCCAAGAGCTCCAGGCATTGTTCAGCTTTGTTTTCAGGACCACTGATATAAACCCCAGATCCAAGCTTGTTCCTTTGCTCTGGGAAGGCTTTTGCACATCCTATAAAACACATGGCGCTTGCCAGGTCAGCAAATCCCTGCAGGATGTCTCCTGTGAGGGACAGAAGAATGAAACCTCCTCTCACTCTTTGGGAAGAGCATAGTGCTGTCCAATCTGAGCTCAAGTCCTGCCTTAGCTTTGCACCCAGATCTAAGCTTCCTCCTCTCACTTTTCCTGTGTTCCATGGACACTTTTATCTCTTAGAACAGAAAATGGGAGCATCACTTTGCTCTCAGGGCCATGTGTGCAGGGCTTGCTAGAAGCACAAGATCTTTTACCAGTTCTCTTTTTAATGTACCAAAATTTAAGCCCACCAGCAAGGTTTTTAAACTTGCCTGTGAAAAAGCTGTGAATGATATTGATGTATAATGCTGCTTTTCATAGTGTTGAAGCTGCTTTAATGTTCAGTACATAGGTGGGGAAGCTCCCCTGTGGCGCAGCTCGTGTGTTACTTAAATCCCCACCAAAACCTTAAATTTAGTTTTCTCTCACAAGTTTTGACTTAAAATCATAGAATCCCAGAGTGATTTGGGTTGAAGAGAGCTTAAAGCTTATCCAGCTCCAGCCCCCTGCCCCGGGCAGGGACACCTTCCACTAGAGCAGGTTGCTCCAAGCCCCTGTGTCCAACCTGGCCTTGAACACTGCCAGGGATGGGGCAGCCACAGCTTCTCTGGGCACCCTGTGCCCAGCGCCTCAGCACCCTCCCAGGGAAGAGCTTCTTCCTTATATCCAACCTAAATCTCCCCTCTGACAGTTCAAACCCATTTTTTTTGTCCTATCACTTGTGTTATGCCAGACTCCATTCTATCCCACTCCTACTCTTGAAGAAGGGAGCGTTTGGTACAAAGCAGGATGCTGTTCTGGACCTGTTGACTCCAGGATTTATACCAGCAACTTCTGGGACCCAGGTTGCTTATTTTAATGTAAATAGATGTTGGCCATACCCAGAGCAGGGATCATAAAATCAATGAATGGTTTGGGTTCGAAAAGACCTTAAGATCACCTAGTTCCAATCCCCTCTTGCGGGCAGGGACACAGTGAGAAGCACTGCAGAGGAGCTCAGCAGCCCTGAAGCGTGAGGCTTACCTGGGGATTTTGAGCTCAAACCTGGGTTGTTTTAAACACTCCAGAGTTCTAATTCAATAAATGAGGTAGAAAGGGGCATTGCAAAGGTCCAGGCATTAATCCTGACCCCGTAGGATTTCTGAGGAGCAGAAGTGTGCATTAATCTAAAGCTATTGTGCCACAGAGGAAAGAAATTCAGTGGGTGAGAAGCTGAATTGTAATAGTTTTGTTCCTTGAAGCTGTTCCCACGGGGGCACAGGTTTGCTGTGCAAGAGCAGAGTCTGTTCTTTGGTTTTAAATGTCACAGTGCTTAGAAATGAGCCAACCAACCTTGAGGGAAGAGATTTCTAGCCTGTTCCATGGTGATACTCGTTGTCACACTCCAGTGATGCTCTAAACGCACAAACCACGTTGGGCTGGCTACTCCTGTCCAGCCATCTCCTGCTCTGAGTGAAAAGGAGTAGCAATGTACTGTAGGATGTTTACGCACAATATGCTGTAATAACTTGTGAAGGAGTTAATTCTCTTTGTGTCATTGAGTAGTTAATGGCTGTAAGGAGACAAAGCATTTATTTTTGCCTGCCAGGATTCATGAAGGCAGCTGCTATGATGGTGGTGGTTGTAATTAGTGTTTTTCTTAATTACTGCTAAAAATCAGGTCTGTGGGTCTTTAGCACTGACTGCGGGTATGTTATTCCTGTTGTGGGTCCTTGCTTTGGCTGTAGGCTGCTGGGTCATGGGATGGAGCCTCTCAGCCACCTCTGCAGACAGACAGCAGTGTTTGTGCCTTGTTGCTTTAATCGAAGCCTAACAATAGCCTTTTCCTCCTGCATTTTAACTTTCAAAAGGCCTAAATACACATGTCCAGAGCAGAGCAGCAGCAGATTTGTGGTCATCATTGTTGCCACGCAGGTGACTCATACCTGACATGGTCCCAGGTCCTGCTGAGCCTTTGTGGGCAGTGGGGCTGGGGCGATGCCAGTGACCCCACACATCTCCCCAGCCCCATGCAGGTCCCTGTGCCAGGTTTTTCCTTGAAATCACCTGATTTCCTTGGCACTGTGCGTGCAAACACCTCAGGATAAACAACGATTGCACAATGTCCTGAACTGAGGCTCAGCAGCTGCTTGTGCTGTCGGTTGCGCTGGCACTGGTGTGTTGGGCTGGGCAGGTAGAGGTGAGGAGCTGGGAGGTGTGGAAGGAGGCTTGGCTCCTTCATGAGCATTGTTCATGACTTGGGAGTTTCCTGTGTTTCCCTGACTTTCTGTCTCTCTGTTTCTAGCAGCAGAGGTGGTGGTGGCAGCTCCCCTGAGCTGTGGGCCAGGGGCTGTGACTGCCCCATCAGCATTATGGATTGTTGTAGAGAGCAAGGATCTCAGGCAAAATCTGTTCCATCTCTGCCACCAGTGATGGGGAACATCAGAAGGTGAGGAAAAAGGCTTCAAACCAGCCCAGGTAGCTTGAGTTTGCGTACACTGGCTGCACCATTAGAGCTGCCACTCCTGTAAGTCATCCCCTTGCTGGCAGCTTGGCAGCAGATGATGGGGAAGCCTTGGGAGCAGCAGCATTGCTGCCAGTGCTTCCAGGAACCATAAGCTCCATGGCTACATCCCAAACCTTCACCCTGTCCTCCTTCAAAGGGTGCTGCTGGTGCCACCTCTGCCTCTCCTGCTGCTCTTCTGTCCCTGAACACTGTTTGCAGATGCATCTCTGTCTTTAGTAAGATTGATGTTATGTGTCTACTTGTAATTTGGCTGCATTGCTGCTTTCTAATGTGGTTTTTAAGTTTAAAAGAAATGCAGTGTATGTAAACTTGTGCTGTATGTTGTGAACTCTGTGCACATGAGCATAAATATCCCATCAGCATTTATTTACAATAAAGAGATTTTAAAATAACTCAGATCTAGTTCCCTCTGTTATTTTCCATTATTATTGGCTCTATTGTGGGCTGGCTTTCATAGAACCATGAAAGGGTTTGGGTTGAAGGGACCTTAAAGCTCATCCAGTTCCAGCCCCCTGCCACGGGCAGGGACACCTTCCGCCAAAGCAGGTTGCTCCAAGCCCCTGTGTCCAACCTGACCTTGAACTCTTTCTAGGCAAAAAACAAAGGAGCAACTGGGGTGACTGTGATTTCCAGGAGCTGGAAACCAGCTGTTCCCAAAGGGACTCACCAGCTGCAGCCTGAAGAGATGTGACCTTGGATGTGGTCAAGGAAAACCCCTTTTATCCTGCTTATCCCACTGCAAGCTGTGGGTTGAGGAGGTCTTAGGGGTGGTGAGTGGCTGTCAGAGCAGGAGATAGCTGTACCTTAGCTGATGCTCCCTGTGCAGGTACTAACATCCTGGGGGCCTGCTGGGAAGCTGCTGCTTTTCCAGCACACGAATCAGCTTGTTCTGAACCATCTGGAGAAACCAAATCCTGAAAGCCTGTTTGTGTTTGTGATTAACTGGATTCTTGTAAATATTTAGTGGAGGTCAGTGCCTGCTCAGAAGTGCCAGAGGACCTGTTGTGAGCAAGCCCCTGCTCGTGGGGTGAGGGCAAGGAGCCTTTTACTGCGCTTTATAGAGCAAAAACTGGATCTGTTTCATTGCATTTTTGGCATGGGCTCAGGTGAACTTTGGGAAGGGGATATGTCCCTCTCAATGTAGGGATAATGTGGTACATTTTTCTGGCAAAAAGCCCTCTGTTTTGGCAGAACAAACTAATACCTGCGAGAAGCACAACCTGGGGCGAAAAGTCTGTTGGCAGGTTCTTGGTGGTGATTAAAGCATGAATGAAGCTGAAGTGCAAAAGGAGCAAAGCGTTCAGTTCCTTCCAAAACTCTTGTAACTGGAAAATGACCCATCAGGGACAGCTGGATTTGGGAACGCTTTCAGTGAGACAAAGGGCAACTGAGTTCCCATCATGGGACTGGGTGTTGAGTGCCAAGTTGATGCTCCCTGAGACCTGATGTGCTGCTGAGCTCCAGCTACTTTAATGGAGGTAGGTGGAGCTGGTTGAGGAAACTGTTTTGACCCTTGGCTTTTGAGGTTAGGAGGGATCAGCTCATGGTTGACATGGCCCAGGGTGAAGCAGTCCTCTTCCTGAGGAGGTCCCTGGGCATTGCCTGGGGACCAGCGCTGGCCAGGTGTTGTTGCTGCACAATGGAATGGGCAGCATCCTGCTCAGCAAGGATCATTCCAACAAGGAATTGGCAGCTCCACGCAGAAAACAAACAATTTCAACATCTGCCTGCGTTGCATTCGTTTTCCTAGTCTTTTGCTTCATGGGTTAAATAAACTACTTCCTTCTTGCTCAGAGGAGGAGTTAATGATTTATGGGTCAATGGCACACGTCTGGTCTCTGCAGAACTCAGTCTTTTCTGTGTGGAGCCCTATCTGAGCGTGTAGGCTTATCGTAACTCCTCCTTTAGCCCTGCAGTGACGGAGGGACTGGACAAGGACAGTCATCACTTTGTCTTGCAAGAGCTGAACACGCCAGGTCTCTGCATCTCATGCCACCAAACCTCCAGGTAGGACAATTTCAAGCCATACAGCTTGAAGCGATGTTGCTCTTGAACTGGAGTGGAGCTTCCTTGTAACTGTAGGAGGCACAAGGCTTAGTAAATTAAATCAAATTAAACCAAGAGCTGTAACAAGGATTGAAGGAAAGCCAGAGGAATGGAACAGCCAAGAATGGTGTTAGGTTTAGGGCAGAAAGTATTAGAAAAGACTCGTTTCCAGAAGGAAGGTAGGTGCTTGGGGCATACATGATGTTGGGAGGATTTAAGCTCATAAATGATGATCCTGGATAACAGAGAGGATTCTTCCTCATCTGAGGGGCACCAGGTTACTCCAATAGCACTTAAACTCCACTGTGTAGAGCTCTTTGGTCTCCTGAAGGATGTCTGATGTATAGCTTTGCTCCATCTTGTCTGCACAAAACTGATTTACCTTCTTGGTTAGATACTTCTCCCTTTCTGCTTGTAATTTACTCTTAGGGGACTGTACTGAGGACTCCAGCAGGATTTCATCCACCTCTGAATTTGCTTCCAAGAGATGTATTACTAAAAATAAATGTTCTATCCCTTAGTTTCAGGGGACTTTTCCCAGAAGGCGTAGATAAACCCATGGCCCAGCAGATATTAATTTGGCTGGGAAGAAGGCTGTGTTGGCAATATAGTGGTTTTAAGTTGAACCTGACAAGCTACAAAGTATTTATGTTCTGGTCTGAGTCTTTATTTTTCTTTTTCTTTGTTTTAAAAGCCTGACCACAAGCTGCTTTCTCAAAAATGCAAATAAATGAGACAAGGGAATAAAGCCTCTGGGAATTGCTTAAGATCTACTGTGAGTGGTCCTGATTGCATCCTGTTCTCATGTCTCTGGGTCAGGTCTGCTGGAGCCAGCCTTCCTCACCCAAACCCAGCTCTTCTGGGCTGGGTCTCGGTCCCATTGGCCAGCAGAGGATTCCAATGGATCCTGGCTCCCAGCTACAGCTGCTGGGAAATGGATGGAGAAATGAGAGCTGTCTGTGTAAGCTGTGGTTATCCTGAGTGTAAATACCCCCCTCCTGCTATTTTACAGGCCTAGAATAAAGAATGTGGTAACTTCTGTGGGATCTCCAGACAGGAATAAAGATGCCAGCTTTGGAGCTGGGGAGGCGGAGGGATCGTGCTGCTGTGCTTGGGTTATTCCTTACCATTGCTCTTGTCGTGGCTGTTGACAGTAAGTGAATGACTCCAAAGGGATGAACTAAGATCCCTTGAAGGAAAACCTTCTCCTTGGGTTCACAAGACTCGGATCCTCCTCTTTTCCTCATTGCCTTTGCACTTTGAGAACACTGTACATCTTTGTGATCAGATTCCCTCTTTGCCTTTTTTGCTTTTCTGTGTAAAACAAACATAAAATAATTGCAGCTGAAAGAGGTGCAATGATTTATACTAACTGGGGAGAGGAAACAGTTTATCTTTGTGACCAGTCTTAGAAAGTGCCGGATGAGGTATAAGGAGCAAACGGGATGCTGTGGGGTGATGCTCCTCCCTGTCCATGCCAGCCTCAGCCATCCCTAGTCACACACTGTGCAGCTCCTCTTTGTTTCTAGTTTTAAGGCCACCTAAGTGTCTTCACCCAGACTTTCAGAGTAAATCAGCCCTGAGCTCCTGCTGCTTTTCCTCCCAGCATCTTTCTGATGGAGTTTCTCTTGGTAGGTGCCTGCGATGCTCCACCACGATTCCCATTTGCAGAACTCAAAGAACAATACCAAGACATTACCACGTTTGCCTATAATTCAATGGTGCAATACGTCTGTCGTCCGGGTTACATGAGAAATCTTAATGTCCGAGACTTCCTTACCTGTGGAAGGGGCAGTAAGTGGTATGGACCAAAGGACATCTGTATACGTGAGTATACGTTGGACTTTTGATTTAGTTTTTTGTTCATTGAAGCTATCAGCTCGTTTTGTTGGAGTAGTACCCAAAGTGACCTCATGGTATGGTGGGAAGTGAGTGACCTGGAGTGAATCACCAGTTGTTCCACCACGTACTGGCAACGATGGCAAAAGCTGAACTCTGCTCTGATGCTGGTTGTGTTTGATTGCTGACCCAAAGGGTGTTCTCCTCAGGGTGTTTGTAACAAGTATTTCAAACCTGTAGCAGGAGAATCCTTGAGCTGTCAAGAAATGCTGTCACACTTGCCAAGGTCTCTGCAAAACCCTCCTTTGGCTGCAGAAGCTGGCTGCAGGTCGTGATGCAAGTCTTAACAGCGTCATGGTTCATGGGATGATTCGGGGTTGGAGGGGAAATCCGGAGGTTTCTGGTCCATCCCCTTGCTCAGTGTTGAAGGAGTCTTCTGCTTTTCTGCTGCATTTTCCTGATTCTTCCAACAACTGAAAAAAGAACTAACTCCATCCTGTTGTCCCCCAGCAAAGTCGTGCATCTACCCTGGAGAGCCAGACAACGGCAGGCTTGTCCTAGCAGAAAAATACAGTTTTGGTTTAGCA